ATCAAGACAACTACTATGGCAGACGACTTCGGACTCGGTGCATTCTACATAGTCTCCCTGAACACAAGACTAAGTTGCGACAACCAGGTCAACCCACTTCTAAAGCAAAGTTATGTTTAAAAACTGGGTTTCGAATAATCTATTAATTTCACTCGCCTCTCCAAACGAAATAAAAGGTACTCTAACATAAATCAAAGTTATATTTGCTATAGCAATCCGCTACATTACTTATTTATCTTTTATAACTAGGGTTTCAAGACTACCAGTAAATTAACTATATAAGACATATTCACTCTATTTTGTCTAAGGTGATGATAGTTGAATTTTTCTACAATCACATAAATAGGCTTCACTTTGTAATTGAAGTTTGCATAATCTTGCCTCCCTAAAAATATTATTTTCTACAGTGGATCCTAACTCCGTCCTCGCCTGGGTCTCATAAGCAGCTCCTTCTGGGTTTAAACCTGGGTAGTGCAGCGCATGGTCTCAAACACTTAACTAGTACACTGGGGATGCTGATGAGACCTATGCGAGGTCGAAATGGCAGTCCACACTGGGTCAGAATACCTTTTGGAATGAATATGTGAGACCTATTCGTATAAATGCAGGAAAATTCAACTACCGGTCCTTCATTACTAAGCAAAATTGGATGAATACAACTTATAAACGGGATCAAAGTAGTGCCCCTTGTTGGTTTCGCAAGTAATTGCATTTTCGGCTCACCCAATGTTGTTTTGGAGACAGCAAGTAAGATTGAATGCTTGATATTCTCGGTTCATTTAACTCTCTCTTGTGTCTTATCAAGAATGTCCAGGTTGTTTCCAGAGTAGTCGAAACTAAACAAGCTAGAAATTGCAATAGCGAGGGAACATGATACAAGGATGGTATGTAGACAGCTGTACTAGGAAAGGAGTGAATAACGCAACTTTCCTGCAGAAAGTTGTCCACGTGATTGACTTCATTTATCTCTGATGAGTTGCAGCTTGGTGCTAAGAATGGCATGATTCACTGAATATGCCGACTACGATGCCGACGAACCGTCTTGGAATGTACCAGGCCTGCAGCCACAAACTGGGAATTATCGTAACCACCATAACAGATGACTTCGGAGAATTATGTTCTCTTAGCAACACTAACAAGCTTCAAAAACGAGGTCAAAACACTTCTACAACGCGAAAAGAGACTGCAACCAAATAGAGGCCACTATATCTTTTTCTTCATATCTTTGTTAAATTGATCTTGTTTTGAAGACTTGTCTTTACAGAAAGACTTTAAATAGCGTATCTTGTACTTCTTCCTCTGCTCCTGTTATCATTTATTGTTTTCGATATTTTTTAATTGTCTAAACACATTCTCAGACTTTTGACATCGTTATTGGTCAGAGTCATTTTTTTCAGGGACTACAACTTTTCAAAGTTAAGTATATGCACATACTTCTTATCGCCAAGTCTTATCCTTAATGTCCCTTCTTATGCTCTCGTTTATTCCAATATGCTCAATGTATGCGCTTATTTCAATTGACTTATTTGATAACAATCCCACTGAGCTTAAGCTCAGGGTATCTTGATCACCACTGTCACCTCTACTCGGGCATCCATTCCACATTAGTTCAATCGTTTGTTAGTTTCTGCTGTTATCTTTAAAATTCAATTAGCTAACTGGCTTAAGTGTAGATATGAAGACCGAGATATTGTGGCCTCTGTTTTGGTTGCTCTATCCTTTAAATTACATAATTAATCTGACCTCGTTTTTTCAACTTGGTCATTTTGTCAGGGGGATCTAGTAGAATGCATCCTGTCCAGAGTCCTCTTTTTAATGTTTGTGATAATTTTCAGCGTTGGACCATATACATGGTACATTCTCACATTTTTCGCCGGCATTGTGTTCAGCATCTTCAGAGAGTTTTGTTATTCTTAGCATCAAGCTACAACTCGTTGAAGAGATAAGTGAAGTCAATCCCTTGCCCAACATTCTGCCGAACGGTTGTGTTATCACTCCTTTCCTAATACATCTACCTACACATTATCCTCGCATTTTGCTCCCTCGCTAGCTTGTTTAGTTATGAATACTCTATACATGTGCCTTTTTGGCGATTCAATTCGAGCGGTGTCGTCAATGGGTCTTGCCATTCTCAGCACCAAGTTATAACTCGTCAAAGAGGAAAATCCACGGTCTGACGCTAGGAATTATCATAGCTACTACATTAGAGGATTGTGGACAAGCTTCGTCCAACTAGGTAACCTTGACAACACGACCAAGTTGTAAAAACGAGATCAGACTACTTCTAACCACTTTTGGTCATCGTGTATATCATGCGTACATAATATACTATGAAATTTATAATGCTTTTACATTTTGTAAAGCTAAAATATTTATCATTAAAGGAGAAGTTTTGTTTGGCCCCGCCCTGAGTCTGCTTTATGGCATATGCTACTTTTAAGGTTATTTCTATTTTCACCACTGTTGATGTGTGATTTGTATACACTTAGTGATGCAATACAGCCTTTTTCAACAATCTTAGTCCAAATCAAATAATTTTTTTTATATCTCTTGAGTTTTTGCATTTCGCTTGCTCGTCAAATTTCAATTATTAAGAAGTTCTCTAGTTGATACAACATATGAAAACCTCTTAATGTCAGTATCAGCAATATTCGATACTATATTGAAGCCTTCTTCGTTAAAAGGCTAACCGACCGGCCTTTTATCAGTGAACTAACTTATGGTATATTCGCTGCCTATTCACTAAATTAACTAGGGGATGTAAATAAACTGTATCCCTTACGTTACTTTCCTTGTTATTCTAAAATGCTTATTTTTTTAATGAGCATGGATACTCTTTTCCTTTGATTTATCTACTTGATCTTTGCATACTAGCGACTAAACAAACTAAGGGTTTTTTAAAACACTATGAAATCTTTCTACCTCTGAAAAAGAAATCAGGCTTTTTTCAGCATCAAGAGTAGATTGGGAATACTCGAGAACCCAGGTAGATTTCACAGAATCGAGATCAAACCGTATCCAAATTTTCTGTCTTTTAAGGCTAATTAGGTGCGGACTTGAAGCGTAAAGGCTATTTAGGGCCTTATCGAGCATTAACAAGTGTCTGGCATAGCAATCCTTGTCTTTCCAGAAATTGCATATTATCATTACACAATAGCTGGATTGTGATTTATTCCATTTTTAGCAAAAAAAGTCTACCATTGAACCTACCGATTGTCACGCAGCCGATTAAGCGGTCTTCCGCAACTCTAGCAATCACCCCTGCTGTGACGACTCCTGCTATCCCAAAGGGACCTCCTGCTCCATGGCGAGACCAGTTAGGCCAGCCTCCTCTACTCTCTGAGGCAGACACACCAGAAAAAGTCGCCGCTTGGTTGGCTTTTCACCAGGCCAAATGGCGCCTGCAGCAAGAGCGTCGGTCTTGGCTAGCTGAGCGGAGCCGGAAGCGAAAACGCCTGGAGGAAGAAGCCGAGTCAGATGAACTAGATGGTTTCATTCAAGGTGAAGGCCCCGACTGGCTCCAGCCGGCTTCTAAAAGGCAACGTGGAATGGACACTTACTTATTCAAGACTCGCTCCGCCCTTTTAAAGTCATATTGGCAGGTTCGTCGATGGGTTACTCTTCTATATGAGGGATTAAATGTATGCATATGCTTGCCCGGCTAATTTATCGCTTGGCTTGTTTTGAATTCGAGTTTAACAAAATTTAGGTGAGCAGATAGGTAGTTAATCATTCTGAATTTGCAGTTGAGTATGCTGCCTTATTATTGTTATTTTTTATATGCTGGCGATCGAACAAATGTAGAAATGTTTAACAATGGTTATCATTTTTAGCTGATGATTAAAAAAAATTACGAATAATTAAAATTATATTTTTGAAGTTGAATAGGTATTTTAGGTAATACTAGCTAAGAATAATGATTTGCCTCTACCAAATAATATCATTACCTTTTTTAGACTCTACTATGCGCGCTTATCAAAAAAACTCTTTTACAACAAACTTTATGCTTCTACTATTATCAAACTCGATAGCTGATACTGTTAATAAAGTTTCGAGAATAGTATCGGTAAAAAATTATATAATT